GGGTACATTACCCCGACATGGCACACCCCCCCCCTCCCGCTGACATGAGATTAATCACCTCATTTTCATTGATTCACAGGATTAGAAAATGCTGTGCTGAGAGACAGCAGAGGTCAGCTGGACCATCTTCCTTAGATCTCTCGTCCATTGTAGGTAAGCAAACAGATGTGGAGAGGTGAAACAGTCATCCCAAAGGCTTCCCCTAGTTCCAGCATTTACAGACTTGTAGCACACTTTGGGAAATATTCACTTTTATGTCCCCATGCCCCACTTCTCAGTACTCAACTCTCAAACCCCAAATCTGATTTCTGTTGTCCCAGGAAGACTTCCTAGATTATAAGAAGTTCTTTCTGGAGTCACAGGCAATATCGCGCTAGACACCTCCATTTCTGTCTGAGTGTGGGCGTTTGCATTGCCTGCTTTAGATTATACAATGGATTTTGAAGATACTTTGTATGTACTGAATAACAGGTCAAGAAAGGCAGCCTTGAAGTCAGATCTTGGTTTAAGGCCAGTTACTGCCACTTCTTAGAGGGGAAGAAAGACAGACTTGTTCCCTTTACCTTCAGGACCCTTTCTTTAGGCAGCATTTGCTGGAGCTAGTATTCTGAAAGGAGGGTCTATCAGAAGAGGTCAAGAAGCTACTTGAGTAACTCAGCCAGGAAAGTACATTTGGTCTGAGCTCTGACACTAGTTAGCAGTGTTACTTTGAGCATGCTACTTCTCTTCTCTGTGCCATGGCTTTCTCATCTATAAATATGAGCTCATCCATAAGTGTGAGATCAGATCTCTCACCCTTGAGACCTCTAGGGCCCTTTGGAATGTGTCATGAGAGCTCCAGGTATCAGCTTTGGGACAAGGAGAGTAGTAGTTGCTGGAGACACAGGGAAGGCCTTTATGAGGGATTAATTAGGAGGTCTGTCCCCCGGACTGGAGGATGGAGGCTTCCCAGAGGCTTCCCAGGTCAGGACTCTGGCTTCCCAGTTCTCATGCTAGTTCTCAGAGGGGCAGACATTTGCTAGGGATCCAGGAAGCTAGAGGATCAGCTCCAGAACCCTGTTGCCTAAGTGTTCTTCATTTGGTCACTTGAATTAATAAGTCCTCCCTCCCTTTTTGCTTAGTGAGTCTGGGTTAGCGACCCCAGGTTCTGGATGCTCTGGGAATGTCAGAGCCCTCCACGTGGGGAACTGATGTCAGATGAATCATGCACTGGTGACTTCATTGGTGATGGTGACTTCATCCCTTTGGCCCATAGAAAAGCCAAAACTGACTGCCAGGAATACTTAGAGCTCTGGGCTGATTCCACCAGTGTCTATGTGGAGTGGGAGCAGGGAATTATCCTGGATGCCCCAGGTCAGCCTGGCCCACGGATGAATTAGTTGGAAGGACCAAACAGATCTTCACAGAAATCTCACTTTCCTACCGATGGTTAAAAAAAAAAAAAAAAAAGTTCTCAAATTTCAGTGGTTGAGGGACAGATAGCAACTTTGTTTCTAAGCTTCCCCATAGGCTCTGTGCTTCCTTTTGTGTCAAATGCAAATGTCAAAATACCCATTTATCTGTGTGAGAACAGTGAAATCTCTACTTAGCCTTCTCTTATTTACTCCTGTAGTTCCTACTTTTCTTTGATTTATCCAGTATCTCATTTAACAAGCATTTATTGGGATCTACTAGATGCCAGGCTTTATTCCTGGGTAGGGGACAAACAGCTGGAAAGCCACAATTGCTGGAGGGAGAGGCAGAAAAGAACTGATGAGCAAACAGATATTTACTATATAATGTGATCTGTGACCCATGCTGTGGTAGAGGATCAAGAACAGGCTTGTGGAAATGCAGGGAAGGCTGTTAGTTCCTAGCCAGCCATTTATGAGTTCCTGATCCTAGTTATCCCCAAGACCCTGTTGCACTACTGTTCTTCAGTTGGTCACTTGAATTAATAAATCTCCCCTTTCTTTTTGCTTAGTGAGTATGGATTAGTTTTCTGTCACTGGTAACCAAAGAAATCCTGACTATTATAGTATTATCACTATAGTTCAGATAGGTGATGTGCAGAGAGATTAAGAAATTTGCCCAATGTCACACAGCTCGTAAATGGCAGATCTAGGTTTCGAAATCATCTATCTTTAAAGCTCATGTTGTTTCCCATGTTCCACGTCAAAGAGGCATCAAAAGTGTTTCAGTAAGAAGGTTTAGAGCTGCCATTTGAGATCACTCTGGTAATGGTGTAGAAGATAGATTTGGAGAGGATGAGAGCGAAGCCCGAGTGTGAAGAGGAGAAAGATCATGGGTGTCTGAACCAAGCATGGCAATAAAAGTGAGGAGGAGACTGTGGTGTCGGGGATATTTAGATGTCAGAATCTACAGGGCTTGTTAGTACAGCATGGGAAGACCTAGGATAACTCTGAGGCTTCTATGTTATGATTCTATCAACCTTCTCTCCCTCTCTCTTTTCCTTTTTAATGTCCTCTGTTTTTAACCTCCTTACTTCTTTGGGTTTCTTCCTCACTTTTTAAATCTTTCCCATCTTTTATTGGTTCCTAACCATGCAATCAACTGCCTAAATCAAGCTAAGAGTGGAACTCCGGGGAAAATTTTTTAGATGTACTCGTTTTTGTCATTTTGTTTGTGTTCCCTTACATCTACCCTAGAAATGGAAAAATTGATTCCAATAGATCATTTGGTGCTATGGCTAGGATGCTTTGGGTTGCCAGTAATAGAAAAGTCAACCCGAACTGGCTTCAACAGCTAAGGAAGTGTATAGACTTATTTAATTGCAACATCCAGAAGTAGCTCAAACTTCAGGTATGGCTTGATCAAAGCTATGGCTCTATTTTTCCATTACTTCTCTCAGTTTTTCTCTTCTCTTTGAGCCAACTTCTTAGTTACATTGCCTTCTCCCCCTGAAACAAAATGGTTATACCAGGACTGGGCATCACAACCCATTTACCACACTGCCCAGGAGAGAAACCTTCTCTTAACCCACACATTGAACTAAAGTGTTGGACTTCCTCTGATTAGATCAGATTAGTTCCTCCCTGAACTAATCATGGTGGCCAGCAGACTGTCGTCAGATGGTTGTTGCCTTAGGCCTGGGCCGCAGCCCTTCCCTGAAACCATTACTGTGACAAGAGGTCAAACTCTCTTGATTGGGCCTATCGGGATCCACCCCAAGGCCAGGGCTTTATTCCGTCTTAAGAGTGTAGGGTTCCTGCACAGTGGGTGGCAGGCATGAAGAGAGGCAACCAGCAATATCCATTACATCTGGATTGTTGCTCACCAGCAAAATTTCTATGCTCCACCCCACTCCCAAGTAACATGAGAAATAAAGAACTTTAGGAGAGAAACAGATTTCAAGAGAAGAGAGATGAGAAGGATCCAAGTCAAATCCATGATCTGTTCCAAATTTCAGTTGTTGGTTTGTCAATACATGAATCCATGCTTGCTCTGAATCCTTAATTCCTGGCCTGTAGTAGGTATTCTTCCTTTCCAAACCTTCTTAGAATTATTGGTAAGGAGGTAAAATGGTTATCATCCTTTTACCCGGTCTGCCCTGCTCTTCTATTAATACCTCTTCCCCTCACATATGCCCAGTATCTTCAGACTGCAGCCTCTTTCCTCTCCAGGGCTCTCCTGCTTCCCAGACTCCACCTGGCCCACCTTCACAGCATCTTGCTATATTCCATGTTTATTCTTCTTTTACTTCCCACCACTAAAATCTCCCATCTGCATCTTATTCTCTTAGGGCTCAAATGGAATATGCAATGCACATTTTTTTTTTTTTTTTTTTTTGGAGCTAAGGTGTTAATGGCTTAAACACCGTAGCAATTTCTTAAAGGTCAATGGTCCCTAATGATCCTAACAATAAATAAATCTCATAAGATTGGGTCACTTGGTTTTCATTTCTAGTTACGCTTCTAGAATGCAGCTAGTTCCCTTTTTCCAGTTCATTACATAAAAGAAACTGTGAAGTGTGCCCAGCCTCAGAATTTTGGCTCAGGCACCTTTAATAATGTTTTGCCATCTGCATTTCTGTCTTCTGCTGCAATCTGAGGTCAGGAGACCGGTTGATATAACTGATGGCATTGCTACTCGTTACCAAACTACAGAGAAGGATCCTTCCACCATGGTTGCTGGTATGGAATACTCAAATGATCTGGGAGTGGCCCCTCTCAGAAACTCAAAGGAGGCTGGATTACAAACCCCTCTTCCAGAAATGAAATTAACAACATTATTCCCTACTTCAGTACTAAGAGTGCCAGAAAACCATCCAAGATTCACGTGTGGTTGTTCCTCCATAGCGGATGTTTTGACCAGTGTGCATCACGATCATGTTTTGAATTTGGGGAATCTTTCATTTTGGGAGTCTTGGTGGGAAGAAAAGATCATCTCTTATAGAAACTGAAAATTAGAGTCCTGCTTTAGTTGTCAGACTTAAGAACTTTTCCAGCTATAATTAAATAAAGGGCACAGTCTTTCTGGAGGTTACAGCTTTAGCAGTGGGTGCACAATTCAGTCTCTGACACAGGAAGTGGCACATAAGGGTAGGCAGTGGTAGTAGTTGTGGTGTAATTGAGTTCCTGGTGCAGAAGTGACAGATGTACACACTGATTGTCTAGAATTTGGTGGCAGCAATGGTACCAGAAGTGGTTTTCTCATCAGAGCAGTTCCTCAGGCATGTGTTGGGCACTGTTCCTGTAAAGACAGTCTTGAGTAGATTCTCTAGCTCTCCCATAGTCCTGTGAGCTACACATGATCCTTTGAAGTTCCTTTTCGGTTCAGTCAGCCACAAATAGCTTCTGTTGCTTGAAACCCAGCCTCCTGGGAAGGGGCTGGAGGAGCAGATCACTGTTTCGAATGTACTTCATGCAGAGGTTCCCATTTCTGCCACAGGCAAGAAACTAGTACTAGACCTAACTTCTGTCTTAGTTCGTTTCAACAGCTACAACAAAATACCCCAGACTGGGCACCTTATAAACAACAGACGGGTATTTCTCATAGTTCTGGAGACTGGAAGTCCAGGATCACCGGTACCAGCATGGTTTGGTGAGGGCCCTCTTCTGGGCTGCAGACTTTTTGTTGTGTCCTCACATGGTGGAAGGGACTAGGGAGCTTTATCGGGCCTCTTCTATAAGGCCACTAATTCTATTCATGAGGGCTCTGCCCTCATGACCTAATCACCACCAGAAGACCCTACCTACTAATACCTAAACTTCAGGAATTCAGTTTCAGCATATAAATTTTGAGGAATCACATTCGGCCTATAATACCTTCCTAATGTAAGCAACTCAGAAATTGTGTAAAATATATGAAACCACAGTTTTCAGTTATTGGACAGCACGTAGCATGGGACCATGATTCCTGAAAGAAAAGAGCAAATGGGGCGAGCTCTACTACCACCATTTCTGCTGGAAGTACTCTCTGAATTGCAGCACGGTGAGGGGAAACCAAAGCACACCACAGTGGTTTTGCTGAGTTAAGGAGAGAGCTGAGGAGACTTTTCGAGATGGAGTACCAGAGACGAGGGAGTATAGCAGCACAAAAGGCTCCAGCATGATCCTCCCGAGTCTGCTGCTGTTACTGAATGGTACATGCACAAAGTGAAACTCCACAATGCTAGGCGAAGAACTGCCAGGGAACATGAGCTGGTTAGCTCTCAGAGCTAACACAGGGCTGGTTGATGTTTGAGTTTCAACCAGCCATTGGGAGGAGACCTTGTAGAATGTCCAGAGGATTCAGTAAAAACTGCAGAGAGTTATGCATTTGTAGAAGAGCTAAATTAGCCTTAGAGTAAAAGTAACTCTAGATGACCCCCCACAACGAAGTTTATAAACGAGCCTCATAAAGAACAAGTCCATCCATTATTATCATAACTATCACTCAAATTTCATCATTTTTAAAAGTACAATAAAATCCATACATTCGACAACATAAAATTTAGAATGTCAGGAATGACTAGACATGTAAATAAGTAGGAAGATGTAATCAGGAGAAAAGTCAGTCAATAGAAACCCAGAAATGATAGAAATAATGGAATTAGCAGATGAGGATTTAAAAAGGAATTATAAGTATACAAAGGGATTTAATGGAAAAGATGAAGATGGGGAGGAGGGGAATGGAAAATATTAAAAAAACAAAAACAAATCGAACTTCTAGAATTGAGGAATACAATACCTGAAAGGAAAAATTCATTAGCTGATCTTAACAGCAGGTTGGACAAAACATTCTTGAGGTCTTTAGTTAAAGGTGGGAATTTACGGCAGATGCCATAGGGGCAGGATTAACCTTCAACCTTTTTGCAACAGTATAGCCAAACAGGTTATAAAATGACTGAAATGATTTCATGTAAATGTTCCCTGCCCTGACTCCTCCTCCCACAGGCACCCCAGGTCTTTTCCTGGCTCCCTCTGACCTGATTCAATAAAAATGACTGATGCCAAGCAGAACAAGGGGCCTTTAGGACTCTGCTCCAACTGAGGCAGGACTACTATGGTTGGTTAGCTGTTAATTATGTTGAGTGTCATCTCTGGTTACAGGATGTGTTAGGATTGCGGGAGCTTTCCTGGGCCTTCAAGTTACTTTTTTGAGTACAATAGACTCAACCGAAAATTCTCAAGAAATTCATTTAAATAACTTACATTTTAAAAGTTCTTGCTGAGTTCTATGTTCCCGGATTGTAGGCAGTACAGGTAGAGGTGTCCCCCTGGAGAAGGCCAGTGCTGTGCCTCTTCCCATCTTCCCATTTCTCTCTATCTTCTCAAAGAGGATTGCAAATTTCCAAGGGGTGACAGTCTATAGGGGAGACTGTTTCCTCACCACCCATCTATTTATCTATAGGTCCAACTGATAATAATTATTAAGCAATCACTGTGTACGGGGCTCTTTAGGAAGTATTAGGATGAGTCAGAAATTGTACTTTCCCCAATGAGGTCATCATAGAAGTCCCTACCCGTGGTGAGGGACAGAGTTGGATAGATACACTCTCTTTCTTGCAAACCAGAAACTTCCCTGTGTCTGGGGTTGAGCTGTGTCTCTCAGTAGAGGTGAGGCCAGCCAGGAACGATCACCGTGAGAGTTAAGTCAATAGTAAAGCAATGTTTGACATCTGAATATGTCCCCTGAGCTGAGGATTTTGTGTTTCTGAATAAGCAGAGCATCTGAGCTCTTTTGGGGCTGTCCCTGACCATGGCTCATAGACTAGAGGCTTGGCCAGCCAGTTCTCTCTGAAGAGTTTGTGTCTCCAGGCTCTTTGCTCACCCCATACCAACTCTCAGCCTCCTGGAGGCTTCCTGAGGCTCTGACCTCTAGCCTGGGTCAACCTCCCCACAAGCAGCTAGAGGAGTGAGGTTCTGGGAAGGGCAGGATGAGAAGTGGGGTGTTTCGTGAGTGACATCTGACATTCACCTAGTCTTTACAAAGACTTGTTCACACATTTGACTTTCACAGCTCTATGAAGAGGTTGGCAGAATTCCTCATTAACATCCTTCTGTTACAGATAAGGCTTTGTGTCTTTATCCGAATGGAATCCAGGCAGATTTTGAGCCCTTATCCAGATCACCCAATCTGTGAGTGACATCAGGACTGAAACCTGAACAAAGTCTGAAGCACTTCTCAGGACACCAAGCTGCTTACCTATCGAGGCATCTGAAGCCAAGAAGGAGACCTTTTATTTCAGGGGCAGCCTGTTTCCCACCCTCAGAGGTTCCTGGTATGAAGAGAGAGAAGTGGGTCCTGCCTTGGAGGCATTACCATCCCATGACATCCCGTGACCACCCAGTTCATGGGACATGCTCATTAAGCATTAGTCATAGAAACTGCTTATATATTGCATAACTAGAATCTTAGACTACTCTCACTCACCCCCAGCCCCCTCCCCCACCCTGCTTAGTAAAGGCCTGCTCTGGAGGGTGAGTACTTTAAAAGGTGGATAAAAAGGGACCTTCCAAGGGTCGGCTTGAGTAACAACAGATGGTTACTTAACGGCTTTCTGAAGAGAGTGGATTCAGTTAACTTGACGCCAGTGTTTCTAAAATGTTTTGTACTGCAAATCACAGCAACAAATAGTTTTTATTGTGAATCAGAATACATACATATGTACATGTTATGTATATGTGTATATATATAGTTGTACATGTATACATCTATACATATACATATAACAAATTAGAGTTTGACTGTCCAACATTTAACTTTACCACCTGTAATTAACTCTAAATTTTCTATTCCATTTGGTTACATGGCCCATACTTTGGAACTCCACTGTAGGATTCTGTTTGCTAGATGGCTACCTGGCTTGCAGCTGGAGGTGAGTGCTCAGGACCACAGAGGGATAAAGAATTCCTACAATTCAATAACAACAATGACAGCAACGAACAACCTGATTAAAAAATGGGCAAAGAACTTGAATAGGCATTTTGCCAAAGAAGATATACAAATGGCCAATAAGCCCATGAAAAGATGCTCAACATCAGTAATCATTAGGGAAATACAAATCAAAACTACAATGAGATGTACCACCACTTTGTACTTATTAGGATAGCTATTATCAAAAAAAAAAAAAAAAAAAAGAACAAAAAACACAAATAACATACGTTGGCAAGGACGTGGAGAAAGTAAAACCCTTGTGCATTGCTGGTAATGTTAAAGTGGAAAATTTTCAAGTGAACCAACTAGCTAAGTCAGCTACAGGAAAGAAATATCTTTAGATACCAGAAGTTGTCCTACTTGCTTGGGTGTGGTTTAGGAGGTGTATTGTATAAGATATGAAGATGGCCAATGTCTGCTTCTGTAATCCACTTACTTGTTAACCAGGGTGTGGTACTAGGTGATGTATTGTGCGAATGGCCAACTTCTGCTTCTGTAATCTGCTTGCTTGTTCTAGGCTTTATAACTTCCTCACTCTCAAACCCCAGGGCTGATCTCCTCTAACCCTGCGTGGTAGAGAGTCAGTCACCGGCCAGCTAATAAAGGCTCATAATTAATCTCAATTGGCTCCGTGGGTCTCAGAATCATTCACGAAAAAGCAGTAAGATTGTAAAATGGTGCAGTGTCTGTAAAAAATGGTATGGCATTTTCTAAAAAAGTTAAACACAATTGCCATACAATCCAGCAATTCCACTTTTAGGTATATACCCCAAACAATTGAAAGCAGGGCCTCAAACAGATATTTGTATACCCGTGTTCCTATTAGCAGTAGTCACGATAGACAAAAGGTGAAAGCAACCCAAATATTTACAGATAGATGAACGAAATGTGATATATACATTCAAAGGAATGTTATTCAGCCTAATGAAGGAAATCCTGACAGGTACTATAACATGGATGAATCTTGAAAAGATTATGCAAAATGAAATCAGCCAGTCACAAAAGACAAATATTGAATGTTTCACTTATATGAAGTTCCTAGAATAGTCAGATTCATAGAGACGCACAGTAGAATGGTGGTTGCCAGGGCTGGAGGGAGGGGGAAATGGGGAATTGGTGTTTAATGGGCATAGAGTTTCAGTTTGGGAAGATGAAAAAGTTCTGGAAATGGATGGTGGTGATGGTTGCACAATAATGTGAATGTGCTTACTGCCACTGAACATTACTTAGCGGTTAAAATGGTACGAATTTATGTAATGTATATTTTACCACAATAAAACAAGGAGAAAAGATAGATGGATTTTACTTTTAAAATGGGATTTCCAGCTTCTCTAAACTATCAGAGCTTACGACCCTAAGTCCCCATTCCCTGAGGAGGCAGAGGCCGCGGTCCTTTAGACAAGGATGGAATCTTCTTAGGGAAACAGGATCGAAAGCCTTTTAGCTATGCAACTTTAAAGCAGTTTGCTCTTGGGGAGAACCTTGCTGCTTTCAAGTAACCTTCCTGGAGAAGTTTGAAAGGAGAAATTAAGGTGTGAATTCTTAATGTAAATTATTTCAGGAGAAATGTCTCTTGCCCTGCCTTGTTCTCCCGATTATATATGATCTGCCTGGCCCCTGTAGGAGTTCTGTGGAATAAAACTATATGTGTCATACGGTAGCTCTATTCTTACTTCTTTGAGGATCGTCTGCACTGTTTTCCATAGTGGCTGCACCAAATAAATTTAATTAAAAAAAATTTATGCCGCCCCTTGCTCGTCAGCACTGAAGCAGAGATAAAGCTTTCTGGGCACTTTTGATTTTTCTCTCTGAGTGTCTCCTTTTACTTCCAGAACTCTGTGGCTCTTGCTTCTCTCTCCTTAGCTTGCTGCAGAGGCGGCAAAGTGCGTAGTGCCTGCTTTTCCACATCCTCAACCTGAGCTGAGCTGCTCAGCTCTGTGAGTGGAGGTGCAGCAGGCACTGCCAGGGCCTGACCCTGAGTCATCAAATCAGCCGGCTGGCTGGCTCTTGTAGCTCATCTTCCATCCCAAAGCCTCCATTCTTGTATTCTTATCCATGCACAGTCTCCAACTAGCATTTGGCTTATAGCCAGACTCCCCTGCCTCCGCCACCACCAGGCTAATCTTCCTAAACCCAGGTTTGGCCAAGTTCCAACCCTTCTCAGAAGCCTTTGGTGGGTCTCCTTTGCCTAATGCCCCAACCTCAGTCTGACATTTCAAACCTTCCCCAGCTGAACTTCGATCATCTTTCTGGACACTGCTCACTCCCACTGCCACTGCAGGCTTGTCTGCTGCTGCCAAACCAATCTCTTCTCTGCACCCAGACCTCCTACACACCCCCACGCACCGTGCCTTTGCCCACAGCGTTCTCCCCATCTAGACCATTTCACCCTCTTATCAAAATGGTCGGTCCCTCAATGCTTGTCTTTACTCTTCCCTCCTGGATTGACCCCTTGCCTGCAAGACCACTCATCAGCCGAAGCCTGCAGCCACTCAGCCTGTGTCCTTTCCTGGCTCTTATCCCATCCCTTTTTAGGTGCCAAATACCTTTCCACGTTTCTGAACCATGGTTCTCTCTGGAAACCCAAAGATAATGCATAGCGTCAGATGTCCATAAAGACTGAGTCGATTCTTGTCTTTTTGGATAAATTCCCATTAATAAATACTACCAACTTGCTCCCTTTTCCAGGTGACTTGCCTCCAAGTTAAGTTATCTATTGTCACCCACTACAAGGGTTAACCTGTCTGTAGGGCAATACATATAAAAGAGCCCACGATGAACTTGGAAGGGGACTTAGGGACCGAATCCCTTCATTCACTTAGTTTTCTTGAAACTTCTGGTTCCTAACATCCCACACTATCATGTAATTACCTGCTTACGGGTTCTCCTCCCCCATACATGGTGGGCTAAGGAGGCAGGGCTGATGTCTGCTTTGTTCTCTACTCTATCTCTAATGCCTATGCAGTGCCTGGCACGTAGTATGATACTGTTCATCAAACATTTGTTGAAAGACAAACCAAGATATGCCCCCTTACCACATAGTTAGCATTTGAAATCCCCCAAAGGAGTGGGTATTCCTCTAAATTTCCTCCCCCACTTCTTGGGCCTTGCAAGTTGCCCCATGCTCCAGGCTCTGAAGAGCCCCTTCCCATCTTCACTCTGCAGCCTCTAAGTGTCTGGAAGGCCAAGTTGGGCTGCTTTTCTTTTGTCCAGGGGTAGGGAGCCCATACCCAGACATGTCTGCGCTCAGACTTGCTTGCAAATCCTAGCTGGAATGCATAACAGTTGCTTCAGGGGCTGGGCAGGGCTCCAGCCTGACAGACACATTTTGCCCACCAAACCCTCCTGACTGCCTCCCTTCTTCCCTTATGGCACTGTGGATTCTGCACCGCCCCAGGGTGCAGGCAGGCTCTCCTAGGCAAGGGTAAGGGCCAGTGAAGAGAGAGTTCCAACCTCACACTTCCTCTAAAAACCACTCATATGCCCAGGAACACGAAATCATCAGCGTTGAAATGTCTGCATCATATCATAAGGAAGGGCTTCTGGGGTGCTGGCAATGTTCTATTGCTTGACCTGGTAGTGACTACAGGGTATTTATATATCACAATAATTCATTAGGCCATGCATTTACATTTTATGCACTTTTCTGTATGCATGTTATATTTCACAATAAAATGACAAAAAAGGAAGTCTTCCTCCCAGCCCTTAATCCAATCAATTCACGTTTAACTCGTGCTTTTCTGCACCCAGCCCCTGCTAGAGGAGATTGTTGTCCTCTAGGAATTTCCTGGAAGAAGCAAAATAATTTAAAAAACAAGACGCTGAATCCAGCTCTGAATTCTATCTAGAAAATAGGCCAAGCTCTCATTATTTTGAGGCGGAGTCCAGAGGTCATGGAGGTGGTAGAGCTCACACAGGGCCTGAAAATACAGGTGGGATTTAGGTAAATGGAGAGAAGCAGAGGAAGGCGTTTTAGCTGAGAGAATGGTGTGAGCAGAAGCTGTTAGGTTGGGTGGAGCCTGATGTTTTTGATGGGCAAAGAAGAGACCCTGGTACTGAATAGTTTATGGGAGTGAGACCATCCTGAAGAGCCCTAGGTGCTGCTCCAGCCCCAAACATGGGCAAGGTGGATGCCATTTATAGCGCAAGCCTGCCCGATCTGAATGGAGGGCCTGGGCCATCACACAACAGCAGACATGTGCGTTTCACATTTCTCGGTTTGTTTTGTGTTTTGCTTGAGGCCCATGTGACCTCATAATTCCCATCTCAGATAGACTAGAAGTTGCATCTGCCAGACGCATTACACGTGCACTTGAATTCCTGCAGAGACACTTGCTCAATCCCTGGCTTTTAACCCTGCCCCACCCTGCAGCTGCTCTCTGGTCCCGGCCCTGGTAAACTGTGCAGCAGTGGGTGTGTGGGAGGAGGCAGGAGAACTCAGGTCTGCAGATTCAGATGTATAACATGTGACAGGCTGTGAGGTGATCCGCCCAAGCCCATGAGTCCTGGAATCCAGGGACTTCGCCCACTGTCATTAAGGATGTGGTCGGCTACCCAAAGATGCCATGAAGTGTCGGGAGATTCTCAAGCTCCAGGCAAAGCTACTAAGTTTAATGCAAGTAAGCAAGACTAGACTGTAAGATAAGAATCCAATTTCATTCTTCCGCATGTAGATATTCGGTTTCTCCAACACTATTTGTTGAAGGCACTATCCTTTCTCCATTGTGTAGTCTTGGTTGCGGAAAGCAAATTGGTCATAGGTGCTCTGTACACACACAGAATGACTGTTAGGAGGAATGAAGCGTCAAGTGGAAAAGAGATAATAATAGTAGTAGTAGTCATGATAATAATAACTACCAAGCATGACGAGTATCTACAAGCCTAGCGTTATGCCAAACAATTGTTTCTTCATTTCATCCTAACAATAATCTTATGATGGGGATGTTATTATCTCCAGTATATGGTTGAGGAAACTGAGGCTTCGAGGGGTGAGCCGTTCTACCAAAGTCATACAAATGGTGAGCACAGCCCTAGGATCTGAATTCTGGCTCTGGAGCCCATCCTGTGGAAGCTGGCGATGTCCATGTCAGCCCTAACTGGGCCTAGACACGGTGTCCTCCCTCGATGACCAGAGCAGGCTAGCCCCGGCGGTGGGTGTGGCCCTCTTAAAGACCATCTGGCAAATTTCGCTTGCTCTGGTTTCTCATTAAACCGCCTTTGGATTTGCCTTCCCATGCGACTCACATACAGGGAAAGAAAGCCAGGATCTGCCAACACGACAGCTGTGTTTTTCATTAGTAAATTAATAAACTGGCTGTCCAGGTTCACACATGTATCCATTTCTGATGGCTTGGTTAAGGTGAGCCCACCCCAGACCTGAAGCCCACCATGTGTCAACTTAATTGAGATTCCAAACATGCAAGGGTAGCCCCCGGCATGGCCTGTGTGCCAAGGAAATCCCTCTTGGCCTTCTCTTGCAGACTTGGCCAGCCTTCCCCAGTGTCAACGTGGCTCTTTGGATTCAAGCTGCCTGAGCAGACTGCAAGGGTCGTCTGCAGAAAGAAGGAATCAACAGTGCCAGGTTCCAGCGTGTGTTCCAAGTTCCACATTCTGCCTGCAGACTCCCGGCGCCAGAGCAAAGGCCGGCCCTTGGCAGGGGACTGCTAAGGGTTTATCTGGTACGTTTTTTTCTCCTACACACATAACCTGGGGATTCCTGGACCTCCCTCTCTCTCTGCTTTCATTGACAGTGGCTCCCAAAGCTGGCGACCAGCACTATTACCCAGGGAGCCTGTTTTTTTTTTTTCCAACTGTTTAACGGACATGTTTTATTTAGGAACAGAGAATGTTTTGCTCTATTTACAGAAGTACAGTTTTTTTTTTTTTAAATTACATCCTAAAATAATGGGGGAATGGGTGGTCTAAATCATTTTCTTTTTAACTTCCAATGATTGTAAGGTTGAATCCACAGCCTTGGTCTTTGTCACAAACACTGGGTTGTTTTTCTACCAAGCTTGGTGAGTGGTACATCTTTCTGGGATAGTATTCTATTGTTTTTTAAAGTATATTGAAAAACACATAATGTGAAACCCACTGTCTGAACACATTTTTAAGTTACAGTACAGTATTGTCAGTATTGTAAACTATATGCACATTGTTATACAATAGATCTCTAGAATTTTTTCATCTTGCATGACTGAAACTCTGTACTGAACACCAACTTCCTAACTCCCTCTCCCCTTTGCCCCTAGCAACCACCATTCTATATTCTGCTTTTATGAATTCGTCTACTGTAGATACCTCATTTAAGTAGAATTATGCAGTATTTGTCCTGTGACTGGCTTATTTCACTTAGCATAATGTCCTCTGGGTTGGTTTCTGATGTAGCATATGACAGGATTTCCTTGTCATATTTTAAGGCCAAAATAATATTCCATTGTATGTATGTACAACATTTTCTTTATCCATTCCTGTCAATGAGCACTTAGGTTGCGAATAATGCCTCAGAGAACATGGGAGGGCAAATACCTCTTTGAGATCCTACTTTCTATTCTTTTGGATAAATACCAAGACATGGGATTGCTGGATCATATACTTCTATTTTTAACTTTTTAAGGAAACTTCATACTGTTTTCCATAGCTGCTACATCATTTTCTAATTTCACCAATAGTGCACAAGGGTCTCAATTTCTCCACATCCTCACCAACACTTATTTTCTGCCATTCTTTTTTTTTTTTTTTTGATAGTGGCCATCCTACCAAATGTAAGGTAATATCTATCTCATTGTGGTTTTGAGTCACAGTTCCTGATGATTAGTGATGTTGAGCATTTCCTCATATACTTTTGGGATTGTTTGTACGTCTTCTTTGGAGAAGTGTCTATTCAAGTCCTTTGCCTATTTTTAAATTTTTTTTCTTTTCTCATTCTTTTTCTTTCGCTATTGAGTTGTAGGAGTTCCTTATGGATTTTGGATATTTATCCCTCATCAGATGTGTCGTTTGCAAATATCTGCTCCCGTTCCATAGGTTGCCTTATTGCTATATTTGCTGTTCTCTTTGCTGCATAGATTTTGAGTTTGATATAGTCCCATTTATCTATTTTGCTTTTGTTGTTTGTGCTTTTGGCGTCATGCCAAGAAATCATTGCCAAGACCAATATTATGAAGTCTTTCTCTATGTTTTCTTCTAGTTTTATTGTTTTAGGGGTAATGTTTAAGCCTTTGATCTATTTGAGTTGATTTTTGTGTGTGGTGTAAGATAAGAATCCAATTTCATTCTTCTGCATGTAAATATTCGGTTTCTCCAACACCATTTGTTGAAGGCACTATCCTTTCTCCATTGTGTAGTCTTGGTACCCTCATTGAAAATCATTTTACTGTATATGAGTGGGTTTATTTCTGGGCTCTCTGTTCTTTTCCATTGGTCTATACGTCTGTCTTTATTCTAGTACTGTACTCTTTTGATAACTGTAGGTTTGGAATATGTTTTGAAGTCAGGAGTGTGAGGCCTCCAGCTTTGTTCTCTTTCAGGATGGGATGTCTTTCCATTTATTTGTGCCTTTTTAAATTGTTTTCAGCAATGTTTTGTAGTTTTTAGTGTATAAGCGTTTAGCTTCCTTGGTTAAGTTTATTGCTTGTATTTTAGATTTTTTAAAATAATATTGTAAATGAGATTGTTCTCTTAATTTCCTTTTTAGATTATTCATTGTAAGTGTATAGAAATGCAACTGATTTTTGTATCTTGATTTTATATTTTGCAAATGAATTTGTTTATTAGTTCTAATATTTTTTTTTCTTTGTGGATCATTAGGATTTTTTAGATATGAGATACTGTCAGCTGGGAATAGAGATAATTTTTCTTCTTTTTTTTCCAATTTGAATGCCTTTTATTTATCTTGCCTAATTTCTATAGCTTGGACTTTAAACATTATATTAAATAAACATGGGAAGAGCAGGCATCCTTGCCTTGTTTCTGATCTTAGAGGAAAAGCTTTCATTTTTTCATTGTTGAGTGTGATGTTAGCTATGGGCTTTTCACATATGGCCTTTATTATACTGAGGTAATTTCCTTTTATTTCTAGTTTGTTGAGTGTTTTTATCATGAAAGGATGTTGAATTTTCTCAAATGATTTTCTGCATCTATTGAGATGATCTTGTGATTTTATCCTTCATTCTGTTAATGTAGTGTATCACATTAATTAATATTTATATGCTGAACCATCCCTGCATCCCAGGGATAAATCTCACTTGTTCCTGGTGTATGAGCCTTTTAATGCACTGTTGAATTTGGTTTCTAGTATTTTGTTGAGGATTTTCGCATATGTGGATGAGGGATGTTGTCTTGTAGTTTTCTTCTATTGTAGTATCTTTGTCTGGCTTTCGTATCAAGGTAATGTGAGCCTCATAAAATAAATTTGGAAATGTTTCTTCCTTTTCTATTTTTTTTTTGGAAGAGTTTGAGAGAGATTGGCATTCATTCTTGAAATTTTTGATAGAATTCCCCAATGAAGTCATGGGGTTCTGGGCTTTTGTTTGTTGGGAAATTTTTAATTACTGATTCAATCTCCCTGCTAGTTATAGATATGCTCAGATTTTCTATTTGTTCATGATTCAATCTTGGTAGATTTTATGTTTCTAGGAATTTATCCATTTCTTCTAGGTCTTACAATTTGTTGGCATATATTTGTTCGTAGTAATCTCTTAAAATTCACTTTATTTCTGTGGCATCTGTAGTAATGTTTTCTGAGTATTGAGCCATCACTGGCTAGAAAACTTCTGGACTAGGTCTGCCCTAATTGTCTCATTATTATTTGATGACCAAAATGGTGGTGAGTGTAGTAAAGCTAGAATTCTAGGAATCCAGATTCCAGTCTTTATTCTTTTAAGGTATGACCTCAGACAGGTTGCTTTCCTTCTCTGGGACTCAGTTTCCTCATCTGTGAAATGAGCTGTGGATAGTGGTCCCCATAGTCCTTCTGTTTGGACTTTGACTCTCTCCTTCCTCCCCTTATGCATTCCACAGCTAAGGAAGTGAAATTCTGGAAACACTCCTGAAACTCTGCCCTAAAGCAGAAGAACCATGGCCCTGAGTGATGTTGATGTCCAGAAGCAGATTAAGCATATGATGGCTTTCATTGAACAAGAAGCCAATGAGAAGGCAGAAGAAATAGATGCCAAGGCTGAAGAAGAATTCAACATTGAGAAAGGACGCCTTGTGCAAACCCAGCGACTAAAGATTATGGAGTATTTTGAGAAAAAGGAGAAGCAGATAGAGCAGCAGAAGAAAATCCAGATGTCCACCATGAGGAATCAGGCAAGGCTGAAAGTCTTGAGAGCCCGAAATGACCTTGTCTCAGAGTTGCTGAATGATGCAAAGCTGAGACTCAGTAGGATTGTGATAGACCCACAAGTCTACCAGGGACTGTTGTATAAACTAGTGCTCCAGGGTATGCTCCGACTGCTGGAGCCTGTGGTAATTATTCGCTGTAGGCCACAGGACCATCTCCTGGTGGAGCGGGTAGTGCAAAAAGCCATCCCTGAATACAAGGCAATCTCCCAAAAACGTGTTGAAGTCCGAGTTGATCAAGAGGTTCACCTCGCTATGAATGCAGCTGGGGGCGTGGAGATCTACAGTGGCAATCAGAGAATAAAGGTTTCCAATACTCTAGAAAGTCGACTGGATCTCTTAGCCCAGCAAAAGATGCCAGAAATACGAAAGGCCTTATTTGGAGCCAATCCCAACAGGAAGTTCTTTGAATGAGCCTCTGAGAAGTGAAGATCGTGTTGAACTGCTAAGCCATAAAAGCATAAGTTATTAAGACAAAAGAAACTAGTCACATTTCATCCTCTTTGTTGCTCTGATATTATTCTTTCGTGAAATATCCTTTAAATAGATAAAGGCATTATACGTTGGAATAAAGCCTGACTTAATGCTTAGAAATCTTATTCCAGTTCATCCATGCATACTGTAGCTTCTGGTCAGTTCTGAAGTTTGAGTTGAAGGGTCTAAAGACATCTGTTCTTTAGCTCATTCTCCAGGTGAGATGTGATGGTATTCTTGGCTTATGGGTCTGAGTGCTCCAAGTTTCTTTAATATGTACGTGAAGTGTACTTTCCTTCTTTTGCTTCAACTTTTTCTGTCGAAACATATTATTTAATGAGGTTTAGAGATCATCTTCATGTATACAGGGCCAGCTTCAGGGGCACATATAACCAGTGCAGTCATACAGGGCTCCATGCTCAGAAGAGGGGTTTAATGCTCTGTAGCCAAGGCCTTGAAATTCTTAATTTTATCTTTGAGTGTATTTTGTAAGTGAACCCCCATGAGACTTTGGAGCAAGTGCCAGGCTCTTAGAGCCCTGGCTCGCACATGGTGCCAACTCTTGAAGCCTATCTACCTCCCTGGGTTGGGTTCTTGGCTACCCACTTCCCAGCTTCCTGGTGTCCCCAAAACCAGCTTTTCCCTCCCTCACCGAGTGAACATTGCTACCCTCTGTCCCTGGTGAGGGCCTGGTGTGCATGCAGGGAGGGTCAGAGTGAGGTATGCATATTCTGCAGTCTTATGACTAGGCGTAATGGTGGCCATCTTCGTGCCTGGCTGGCAGCTACATGACATGACACATTCAGCAGGTGACTCAATGAGGGTGAGTCTCTCGCTCACCAGATACTGAGCACATCTGGTGTGGAGGTTTAAAGACCCTGGGGTTCACCTATCTGCTGTGCATTGGGTCAGCTAGCCAACTGGAATGGGAAGTGCCTGGCTGGATGTCCCTGACCCTAGCCAAGGCATAGCACATATATCTGGGGGTTTGTGGAAAGGAGGATACAGCAGTTGTCAAGCCTCCTGGGCCTGAGTCTCAGGGTGGGAATTTAATGAGCTTATGAGGTTCTGCACTTGCCCTGTAAAGCAACCCTGAGCCTGACAGAGTTCTCTGTGGGAAAGCTCAGTGCCTGGGGGAATTTGGGCTCATCTCTTCTGGCCAGCTTGTTGAATCTCCCAGAAGAAGCTAAGAAATACAGACGGTGTAATTTCAGTGATTCTCCATATAGGCACAATATAGAGATAAATGATAAAATTCATACTAATGATTTAAAATTTTTAATATTTATTTACTTAGACATTAAATAGCAAATAAACATCTTGACAAGTCAAAAGAGAGACTACAGAAAAGGGAAAAAACTTTATATGTTAGTACTTTTAACTGTACTTTTTGAACAAAGGATACCACATTTCCATTTTGCACTGGGCCCTGTAAATTATGCAGCCTGTTCTGCATGGGTATGGTGATTTAAAGTCTAATCTATGCCCAAGAGTGATTTATGTGTTAAAATAAAAGTTTTTTGAAGAGAAAGAATCCAAGCAACTCTGCCAAGGGCAAAGGTTGCCTTGTATGGTCAGGACTAGGTAAGGAACAGAAATCCTGTGAAGCTCAAGTAGTAAACAAGAGTGTCTCCCAGAACTGAGGGATAGGACTTTCATGGACCCAGGAGATGGCTGGACTTGGGAATCAGAAAGCCATCTGAAATCCTCTGTTTGGCCACTTCATTGTTTTTTCTTTAAGGAGTGACTTTCTCTAGAGTGTGCATGCCACACAAAGTGTACATTCCCAAGTTTATATGTTGTAGTTCCAGAAACAAATCTTCTCTTGGAGTCAATTCCACTTTTCTGAGAGGGAGTCCATTTGGCCCAGCTTAGGTCAAATGTCCACTTACGTTTCAACAGGTGTCTGGGGGCAGTTCTCAGAGAAAAGGAGGTCTTTGTCAGCTAGACAGACTCTCCAAAGGGCATCTTCAATGTGGGCCATTTCGAGTTGCAGTTTCTGTCATTCAGTGAACATTTTCTGAATGCCAACAATGAGCTAGGCCCTGCGCTAGGTGCTAGGCTGCCAGGAGTACGATTGGGTCCTGTTTTTTCATTAGTCAGAGACAGATGAACAGATGATGATCGTGGTAATGATACCACGTGGAGTGCCAGCCTAGTGCTATATACAAGGTACTGTGGGAATATAGTAACAGGGAGAGGGGTCACAGAAAGCTTCTGGGGGGCTGGTAATTGATCTGGGGAAAGTACTCCAGCCAAAGGGGAGAAAGCATGCAAAGACCCTGATGTGTGAAAAGCAAGTTGCATTAGAGGAATTGTGTGTCGTTCAGTGTGATGGGTATGAGGGGTGAGTGGAAAGTGACCATGGATGAGTCTGGAAAGATGGACAGAGCCTGATTACATGGCGCTGCATGACGTGCTAAGAAGTTAGGCTAATTCTGGTGAGTGGGTGATGAAAGGTCATTGAAGGACTTTAAATAAGAGTGACACCATGAGAGCTGGACTTTTAAAAGATTATTTTAGTGTCACTGTATGTGGAGGGCACATTGGAGGGAGGGAGAGACTAGAGGCAGAAGCCCTGTCGGGGGCAGTTTATCAACCTAAGTGAGAGATGATAAATAATCTACCCAGTTCTTTTGTGAGGTAGGTAAATTTCATTGATGCATAGGCTCGAAGAGATTGGAATCAGTGGCCTATGTCCTATCCGCTCCCACCTCCCTTCCCCTACCTGTATGAATCCTTTCACTTGTCCAGGACTTGAGGCTTTCTGACACAGTTTCTCATCGCACAATTTTTTCTTATCAGAGTCCCTCTCCCTCAGAGCCTTTCCACTTCTTCCCTAGCCACCGTTCCAGGCCCAGCAAAGCAGTGCCCTCTCAGCTGACTCAGTCCCCCAGCAGCCACCCCTTCTGGGAACTCGGACCCCACTTCCTGCTGTAACCCAGAAATGTCTGAACCCCATTTGCCTACCCCAGCTCTGGCCCTCTGAGCTGGCCTCAGTTCATTATTAGGGCCCAGATAGCAATTCCTCTCTGAAAAATCTGATAAATAGGTTTTATGAAAGGTTTTGTGAGAAGTTGAGGGAAGCCTTCCATAGTGTCTGTGGGGCAAAATTTCCCTTAAGTCCCATTTAAATATCTCCCTGTTTTCCCAAACATTCCTCTCTCCCAAAGCTGCCAGATACTCTTTCTCCTCAACCTTCTCCTCAGCCCTCTCAACTCATGGGTTCCAGTCTCCTCCCTCATAAGGTCCCCTTAGCAAAACAAAAAACTGTTGGCCAAACAAGCTCCGCCCCACCACGGTTCCTGGTTGCCCCTCCCACTGAGGACTTTGCTGCATTGCCTTTCCGTACTGGTCCCAGCATCTCCTACTCGTCTCACCTTTTTAGACCCAGCTCCTTGTGGGCTGGGACAGTGTTCATTCTAACTTCTTTGCATTCTCTTCTTGTTATTTCACTGCTGACGTAGGGTGTGCACGTAGTAGGTTCTCAAAAGACTTTTATGGTTGCTACATTTTTCTTTCCCAGCCAAGCTCCGGTCTCTGGATGGAGGCTTCCAGAGTTTCTTTCCTTCTCGGCCCACAGATTGTGCCATTCAAATCAGCAAGGATGTGAGATGCGGACGGGGAAAGGAAGATGGGGGCCTGCACCATTGTAGAGGGATGGTGGTTGCCAAGAAAATCCTCTGCTACCCATGGGGAGAAGGCTGCGGATGTGCGGAGGCTGAACCTAAGTAGGACTGCGCCTCTGTCTCACCTCAGTCAGGGCTTGGTCACCTGTCGGCAAATCTGGGGCTTTATTGCATCACTTCCCTCCCTGGGAAATTAATGGGGGAAGGGCTTTGCCTTGGACCCCAGTGCAAAAGTCGGGGCTATGGAGGGGCTGGGTCCTCCTCAGGGGCCCCAGCTGTGGGACAGGCGAAATTTAGCCTTCTTGTTTCTGTAGTCCCTAACGCTAGCCTTGGCCTGCAGGGCAGGCTGCTTGTCACCATTCAGATAACTGCACTCCTGTAGGGGTCTTTGCTTTAGAAATGTTTACACTGGCACTTTCTGTTCGTTGACTGGTACCAACATACGGGCATTCTTTATTAGCATTAACTATCCTACTCTCAAGAAGACATGTTCCTCCTTTAAAACTCCTCAATCCCCGTGAGCCCAAAGGAGCAAACTGTTACAACCGCAGGCAGGCACAACCCTTCCCCACCGCTTTCCTCATTAACGCTTCCTCCCGAGGTGCAAGGGAAGCTGTTTGCCGCTGATACAGACGGAGGCTGTTTGGTAGGCTCACTCTCTGCTGGGAGAGTACTAGGGGCTGAACACACCAGCGGCCAGACCCTGCCCCTTGATGCGGCCTCCACCCCAGGAATCCTGTTGCCAAGGGTAACTCGGCGGATGCAGAATGTAGAGTTAGTTCTGATTCTGAGCTGCCTAGAGAGCCAGAAATGGAGGGGATGCTTTGAGCACGTGCTAGAACCTCAGAGAAAGCAGCGAATGCAGACCAGCAGAACAGAATAAGCTGCAGGGACTCTTCTCTGTCCCTGGGGTCCCAGGACCCCCGGAAGTGGGTCAGCAGATCTACTCAGGGTCAACCATAAAACCTCATAAAACTTGCTCTGGGGAGCAAGTGCAGCCCCTCGCTGAGCTCCCCAGTGAAAATTGCTCAAGTTCTTTCCTTTTCCTATGCTTTCCTCTGTTTCTATCCCTGAAATTGTGCCTGTTACTGATGGTACTGGGAAAAGATTGAGTCTTTACTCCTACCTCTACATTCCTAAACTCTGTTCTACCGTGCTCGCTCATAGCACCCATGCTTTCCTGCACAATCTCACGGCTCACCAGAAGTGTTTTCCTGCAGGTCAGCAGCCCTTTAACTGGGAGGCAGGCTACTCCACTCTGCAGACATAGCAAAAGGGACCCCCACCCCCACCCCATGCACACACAGCTTGGAGAGACAGTTCTGGTAGACCCTTGGCCCAGTCACCGCACCTTCCCACATACCTTTAAAAAGATGG